GACCTTGCTTCACACAAATTTGCATATTGATCAAGACACTCGTGCTTAGCCACTTCACACATATGTAAATACTATTTCATGCCGGCATGTGGTGCATCCAGATTGATATGAAAATTATTACATGCTGTAATGAATCTGTACAGGATGTGTCTGCTGGAAGAGATTAAATTAAAAAAAGGCTTTCACTACATTATTTAAACATGTATTTACTGTATACATTAAACAAGTCCCAACGCCTTTTCACGAGACCCGTGATAGATTGGACCCCCCCTCCCCCCCCTCCCGTGCGAGCGAGTCGGCCGCAAGCTGCTCGTTAAGCATCGACACGATCCTATCAGAGTGCGATAAAGATCATATCCACATGAAATATAAATAAAAAAATCTGCAAGTGATTGATAAAATGCCCCGATTATACATACATACATACATACATACATACATACATACATACATACATACATACATACATACTTACATACATACATACACGCGCATTCGCATGTGTATATAGACTGATAGATAGATTTAACTATTTAACTATTTATTTATAAAAAAAACAGCAGTATACCAATTCCTTTCAAGATATAATACAGCAGCTAAATGACACCGATTTTTGCTATTGGTCATCTCGTACTACAAAAGTGAATGGCGCACAAAGGCCTATTTTTCTTTCTTTGTTAACTTACTTATCGGAAGCTAAAAAGAACCACCAACCATTCCTCTCGCAAAGAAGCTATCTGTGTTTACCTCTGAGGGGAAGCTTCAGAAAAAAAAAGTATATAGTGCCCCCCCTCCCTTAATCACCAACCAATACCCCCGCCCCCCCCTCCCCCGTGCCCCAAATGAACCACCGTCGGCCACGGGTTCCCAAGCCCACAACGCGCCTGAATAAATCTCCGCCCACACTGGCCCCCACACTGCCCCCACACCTCCCCCCCCCCAGCCCCCCGCTTGAATTTATTCAGCAACACGGCGCTACAAGATTCATCCGGACGAATCTTAAAATGTGATCCTTACGTCAGGTGAAGATAAGGCTGGATTTACCGTGGCAGAGGGTATAGGGGGTACCACATTATGGTTATGAGAGTGGGCAATAAAGGCTGGCTGGTGCAGTCTCCAGGCATCACCGCCACACATCAGCACAAGCCGGTGCCACCCTTCTGGCCCTAAGGGTGGCCCTCCCCTCCCCTCCCCTCCCCTCCCCTCCCCTCCTGGCCCTCCCCCTCCCTCGTTTCCTCTAACCCTGCTGTACTCTATCTCTCCTTTTTTGCCTCGATCTCCCTCCGTTCAGTCTTCTCTCTCTGTGTATGTATGCCATTCTAACTATCTATTTATCTGTCTATCTATCTAGAGACAGATAGACAGATATATAGACAGACAGACAGACAGTTATATATACAGACAGACAGATAGATATATATACAGACAGACGGACAGATATATAGACAGACAAAGGCTATCTATCCATCTAGAAAGAGAGAGATGAAGACAGACAGAGACAGAGGTACACAAAACCAAAGGGAAAGAGACAGACAGACAGACAGACAGGTAGACAGCCATAAGACAAAGCCAAAGAAACAGAGACAGACAGACAGGTAGACAGACATAAGATAAAGCCAAAGAGACAGAGACGGACAGACACACAGACAGACAGGTAGACAACCATAAGACAAAGCCAAAGAGACAGAGACAGACAGACACACAGACAGACAGGTAGACAGCCATAAGATAAAGCCAAAGAGACAGAGACAGACAGACACACAGACAGGCAGGTAGACAGCCATAAGACAAAGCCAAAGTGACAGACACAGACAGACAGGTAGACAGCCATAAGACAAAGCCAAAGAGACAGAGACAGACAGACACACAAACAGACAGACAGGTAGACAGCCATAAGACAAAGCCAAAGAGACAGAGACAGACAGACAGGTAGACAGCCATAAGATAAAGCCAAAGAGACAGAGACAGATAGACAGGTAGACAGCCATAAGACAAAGCCAAAGAGACAGAGACAGACAGACAGACGTAGGGTTGCTGAAACATACATCCACTTCAAACGCAAGGCGCGAGGCGGGCGGCGGCGGGCGGGCTCGACCTCCGAGTCCTTAAGGTCATAATGCCACCGAGTGCCTAGTGCCAGGGCGTGTTAATAAGTCAACAGTGCCAAAGTTTAAAAAGCCTGGCGGTAATTGAGCTGTGCCTAAAGGAAGAGAAAGGAGCTATCAATTTTTTAAAAGCGGAGGCGACTGGTTGTTGTACCGAAGGCTGGAAAGTTGAGGTAGGGGAAGATTGGGCGGGGGGGGGGGGAGAAGGAGGGAAGGAGGAAGGGAGGGAGGGAGGGTGGGTGGGAGAGAAGGAGGGAAGGAAGGAGGGAGGGAAGGGGGAAGAGAGGGAGGGAGAGAAGGAGGGAAGGAGGGAGAGAGGGAGGGAAGGAGGGAGAGAAGGAGGGAAGGAAGGAGAAAAGGAGGAAAGGGGGGAGAGAAGGAGGGAGAGAAGGAGGGAAGGGGGGAGAGAGGGAGGGAAGGGGGGAGAGAGGGAGAGAAGGAGGGAAGGAAGGAGAAAAGGAGGAAAGGGGGGAGAGAAGGAGGGAGAGAAGGAGGGAAGGGGGGAGAGAGGGAGAGAAGGAGGGAAGGAGGGAAGGAAGGAGGGAAGGGGGAGAGAGGAGGGAAGGGAGGGAGAGAGAGGGAAGGGGGGAGAGAGGGAGGGAGAGAAGGAGGGAAGGAAGGAGAAAAGGAGGGAAAGGGGGAGAGAGGGAGGGAGAGAAGGAGGGAAGGAAGGAGGGAAGGGGGGAGAGAGGGAGGGAGAGAAGAAGGGAAGGGGGGAGAGAGGGAGGGAGAGAAGGAGGGAAGGAAGGAGAAAAGGAGGGAAAGGGGGAGAGATGGAGGGAGAGAAGGAGGGAAGGGGGGAGAGAGGGAGGGAGAGAAGGAGGGAAGGAAGGAGGGAGGGAGGGAGAGAAAGAGGGGAGGGGAGGGTTGAGTGGGGAAGCAGATGGGGAAAGATAGGGAACAGAGGAAGAAAGAAAAGGGGAGAAGATGAGAAGGAGGGAGTGAGTAGGAAAAGGCAGAAGAAGGGAAAGAAAATGAGTAAGAAAAGACAGACGAAGAAGCAGAATAACAATGACGAAAGCAGTAACAACAAGAAAATTATACACGAAAGATAAAAACAAACAAGAGCGGTGAAATACAGGGAAGCCGGCTGTAGTCCCTTCCAAATGAGGCATTTCAAAAGACGCGAATGAAGAGCGGCGCAGAACAAAAATAAAAGGAGAAAAAAAAAGTAGACAAAACAGTGCCAAGCAGGGCAGTGGCAGGATATGATGAGTGCCAGCGACTAATGAAAGTTCCGGTGGTAATGGAAGCCCGTGCGATCATATCTGAGGAAATGATGAATCTCATTTTTGATGAGGCTTTGTGTAGCAGACGCGACCGTGCGGGCGGGGGCGGGCGGGGGCGGGCGGGGGCGGGCGGGGGCGCGGGACCCTGCTTGGGGTATTATTTTGCCTTGTTTTGGTAAATAAATGGCACGGGAGGAGGACGTTCTGTTCGCAGTCCACTTATGGGTATTTTGTGCTCATTGTATATGTGGTTTTTGCTTTTCACTGGATTTACCTTTTATTAATTTGTATTTGTACTGTATCTCGTTGATTATAAATATGTGAAAATTTGTTTATATCAATTGCCTTTAAAGCATCATTTAAAGCTTGACTTAAAATGTCTCTTTTTTCCCCTCCTTCTGCTTGTCCTTCTCCCGTTCTTTCTTTCTTCCCTTGCTTCCTTCCCCCCCCCCCCCCCCGCTCCGTCTCCACCTGTTACTTCTCCTATTTATCCTCATCCCTTTTCTTCATCATGTTCCTTCTTTTCCCCTTCACTGTTTCCGTTTCCTTTTCACTCTTCTCATTTACCTTTCTCCCTTTTATTCGATTCCCTTCTTCATCACTCTTTTCTCCCTCTTTCCTCCTATTTCTTTTCTTCCTTCTTCTTTTTTTTATCTCCTTTTACCCTCTCCTCCTCTCTCTTCACCTCCACCTTTTCTATCCTTTTCTCATCCTCACATATCCCATCCTCTTTCTCTTCTCTCCCTTCGCGTCCCCATCCTCGCATTTCTCCTCTTCCTCCTTCTACCCCCCCCCCCCAACAGGCCCAGCCCGAGGGAACTTCAGCGAGCTGACTGAGACGGAGGAGCTCCCCCCCGAGGCCGGCGGCGCCCCCCACCACGACTCGTCCTCGGGCTACATGCACGACGGCGCTGCCCTCGGCGACAAGAACCATCGGAATCTTGGTCAGTCTGCCCCACGGATCCGCCGCTTACTGACTTGATTTATTTTTCCTGATGTTACCTCTTTTTCTGAATTTTTCCTGATGTTACTTTTTTTCTTTATTTTTCCTGATGTTATCTTTTTTTATTATTTTTCCCTGATGTTACTTTTTTTCTTTATTTTTTCCTTTTTTTCGTTTTTTTTTCTTTCTTTCTTTCTGTCTCTGACTTTTCTCTTGCTTCATTTTGTTCGTTCTTTTTTTCCCGTTTTATTTTTTGTTCACTTGTTGCTCGATTTTTTTTCTCTTTCCACTCACTCCTTACGTCACATAAAGATGAATAAATAAATGAATAAAGAAGAAAATAAACGCATAGAGTAATAGACAAACTCTTGAATAAAAGGGTAGGGAAATTGGAGACAGATAAAGGAGATAGATAGAGAGATAGCTAGAGATATGGACTTAAAAATAGCTAAAAATAGAGTAAATAGGCCAAGCAAGCTAACCTTTTATTTTTGTTCCTTTCTGCTTATCACTTTATAAAAAAATGGATAATCAATGTAAATAGATTAATCCTTCATACCTTGGCCCTCCTTACCATAAGTGTTTTATTTACTTATTATTACTATTATTTTAATTATTTTATTGTTTCTTATTTATTTACTTGGTGGGGGGGGGGTTAATCTAGTGTTTATTCATCTATTTTTATTTTACGTGTCACTTACTTATTATTTATTCTATATATAGTTCGTTACTTTAATCATCTTGTACTTTTACCTTTTTTATATATTTAAATCGTGTTTTGCTTCTGTTTCATCCATTTTATCATTTACTCATACTTATTCACTTCTTTGTAGTTTATTGTCTTTATTTTTTCATCTATGTGTGTGTGTGTTTGTGTGTGTGTGCGTGCGTGCGTGCGTGCGTGCGTGCGTGCGTGCGTGTGTGCGCGCGCGCGAATATGTATATTCTCTCTCACTCTTCTTCTTCTTCTTCTTCTTCTTCTTCTTCTTCTTCTTCCCTTATATTACTATATTTTGCATTTGACTTACCCCCCGCCCGCTCCGCCCGCAGTGGTGACGGACGTGTCGGAGGAGCCCCGCGGCCAAGAGTACGTGGCGCTGGTGATCGGCGTGCTCATCGCGGTGATCATCCTGCTGGTGTCGGCCATCCTGCTGATCGTGTGGCGGGCGCGGAGGCAGAAGGCGGGCACGATCACGCACGACATCTTCACGGGGCCCTACGGAGAGAAGAGGGACATCGTCAACCTGAAGGTAAGGGCGCTGGGGGTTAGAGGGAGGGAGGGTAAGTGGGGCGAGGGAGAGGAGGGAGAGGGAGAAAGAGAGTAGGAGGGAGAGAGAGAGAGAGAGAATGAGAGAGAAAAATAATGATTAATGTTATTTTGTACATGTTTAGTTTAAGGATGTTTGCATGTCTTTTCTTCTTCTTCTTCTTCTTCTTCTTCGTCTTCTTCTTCTTCTCTCTCTCTCTCTTCTCCTCTTCCTCTTCTACCCCCCCCCCCCCCCGTTCCCCTTTCTTGCGTCCGTTGTATGATAAACTCCCACGGCGTACAATTACAGTGCCCCTCCCCCTCCCTCCTCCTCCTCCTCCTACACCTCCTCCTCCTACACCTCCTCCTACACCTCCTCCTACACCTCCTCCTACACCTCCTCCTACACCTCCTCCTACACCTCCTCCTCCTACACCTCCTCCTCCTACACCTCCTCCTACACCTCCTCCTCCTACACCTCCTCCTACACCTCCTCCTCCTCCTACTCCTCCTCCTCCTCCTCCTCCTCCCTCCCTCCCTCCCTCCTCCTCCTCCTCCACCTCCTCCTCCTACACCTCCTCCTCCTCCTCCTCCACCTCCTCCTCCTCCTCTCCTCCTCCTCCTCCTCCACCTCCTCCTCCTCCTCCTCCCTCCCTCCCCTCCTCCCTCCCCCTCCCCCTCCCCCTTTCCTCCTCACTTGCCCCCTCCCTCCCATTCCTTGCCCTCCTCATCCTCACACCCCCCCTCCGACTACCCCCCTATCCCCTCCTACCCACGTGTCTTTCGCAAGAAGTTGGAATTCTTTTTATTTATTTTCCTTTTTTTCTGCTCTCTCTCTCTCTTTTTTTTTTTTTTTCTTTTTTTTACATCGCTATAGTCTGATAATTCTTCTTTCGGCCGGGATTAATGAGCCGGCAGTGGCGCTGTCCACCCGGCCCCGCATTCCGTCTCCTTCCGCAGGGCACTTCTCGCGGTCCGGGCTCCTCTCCCTCGCTCTCTCTCTGTCTCTGTTTCCTGTTCTTTTGCCTTTTCTCTTTTCCTTTCTTTTCCTTTCTCTTTTTCTCATTTTCTTTTTGTTTTTTGGGCTTTCTTTTTTCTTTTTCTTTTTTTTTTTCTCTCTCTTTGTCTTCTTGATATTCTTGATATTTTTTTTCTCTCTCTTTCTCTTTCTCTCTCTTTCTCTTTCTCTCTCTTCTCTCTCTCTCTCTCTCTCTCTCTCCTCTCTCCTCTCTCTCTCTCTCTCTCTCTCTCTCCTCTCTCTCTCTCTCTCCTCTCTCTCTCTCTCTCTCTCTCTCTCTCTCTCTCTCTCTCTCTCTCTCTCTCTCTCTCTCTCTCTCTCTCTCTTCTCCTCTCCTCTTCTCTTATCTCCTCTCCTATACTGTCTTCCCTCCCAACCCATCCTTCCAACCTCTCTTCCCCTCCCCCTCCTTCACCCTCCTCCCATTCCCCCTCCTCCTCCTCCTCTCCCTCCCTCCCTCCCTCCCTCCCTCCCTCCCTCCCTCCCTCCCTCCTACGAGAGAGAGAATGGTACTCTCCTTCCTCCCCCCTCACCCTCCTCCTCCTCCTCCTCCTCCTCCTCCTCCTCCTCCTATTCCTCCTCCTCCTACACCTCCTCCTCCTCTTCCACCTCCTCCTCCTCCACCTCCTCCTCCTCCTCCTCCTCCTCCTCCTCCTCCTCCTACTCCTCCTCCCACCTCCTCCTACACCTCCTCCTCCTACACCTCCTCCTCCTCCTCCTGCCTCCTCCTCCCTGCCTTCTCCCCCTCCTCCTCCCCCTCCCCCTCCTCCTCCTCCTCCTCCTCCTCCTCCTCCTCCTCCTCCTCCTCCACGACGCGTAGGTAGCCTTTCACATGACAAGTGGCCATTAATGTTTTCACCCCACAAAGTCAAGAGACCCGAAAAGTTTATCGATTTCTTGCGCCGTTGACCCGGAGATCGGGTAAGGGCAAGGCTTCATCGACCACGGGTCCAGATGGT